CTGATCTCAAAGTCCATCTTCTTTTTCCAACATCATGGGCTCTTAACTGCTTGATTCTTTCAAAGTCAAAACCACATGTAACTTCTGAGCTGTTCATCTCCTTGTCTCTGCATGTTCTGGCAGGACATGTCCACAACAGGAGGTGCTGTCTTATCGTGGTTGAGAAAGAAGTCCCAGAAGTCTCAGACTCAGACTTCTATCTTAGCACCACCAAAGAGAAGAGAGCTTCTATTTCCCCAGTTTCCATATTTTCATCCCAGAAAAGACTTTGATTGGCCTTGCTTGGATCACATGCTTACTCCTGAACCATTCACAAGGGAATCTCAATGCTCCGATTAGCCAGCCCTTTGTGATAAGTGTGGGGTATCATGATGAATTCCTACCTCTTCCCCCACATCCAGGACCACAGGTAGGTGGTTTAATCTTGACTTGGAGAGTCAGGGAAGGCATCCTATAATGAAACATACAGGATGAGTAGGAGTGTTCTAGGCAGAGGCGGTGGAACAGTGTTCAGACAGAGGGATGAGCAAGTGCAAAGGCCCAGGAATACTCCAGAGCATGTTTCCTCGCTTGATATATCCTATGCCTAGTCCACAGCCTGCCTTCCAGAAGGCATTCAGAGAAAGCTCAGGAATGAAACCCATGATTGGATATGTGTCCTTAGATAACTTAGTTACCTGCTGTCTCTGAATTTCAGCCTCTTCTCTATCTGGTGGTTTAATCATCTGCCCCTTCCAGAATTGCACAAGAATCCAATTCATTCAGTCCTCAAATATTCATCAAGCACTTCCAGTGCTCAGCTTCCTTACTTGGCCAGGAGGAAGTCCCTGCTGTGGAAATGCAAGTATGCTTAGGGCTTATGTACATGTTAAAGCTGCATCCAGAAATCAAAAGTCTGGGTGGAGGAGCATGACAGACCCAGTCACACAGGACAAGGAGAGAAATTCATGCCCTCCTACCCTCTACATTCCACCCCACCCCGACCACAAATTACCCCTGTTGTTGTTGTTAGGTGCTATCGTGTCATTTCCAACTCATAGTGACCCCATGTACAACAGAACAAAACACTGTCTGATCCTGCACCATCCTAACAATGAGCGCTATGTTTGAGCCCATTGTTGCAACCACTGAGTTAATTCATCTTGTTGAAAGTCTTCCTCTTTTTCGCTGACCCTCTACCAAGTGTGATGTCTTTCTCCAGGGCCCACTGCCTCCTGATAACATGTCCAAAGTAAGTGAGACAAAATCATACTGTCCGCACTTCTAAGGAGCATTATGGCTGTACTTCTTCCAAGACAGATTTGTTCGTTCTTCTGGCAGTCCATAGTATATTCAATATTCTTTATCAACACCATAATTCAAAGGCATCAATTCTTCACTCATCCTTATTCATTGTCCACCTTTCACATACATATGATGCAATTGAAAGTATCATGGCTTGGGTCAGGCAAACCTTAGTCCTCAAAGTGATATCTTTGCTTTTTAATCCTTTAAAGAGGTTTTTTGCAGCAGATTTGTTCAGTGCAATATGTCCTTTGATTTCTTGACTATTGCTTCCATGGGTATTGTACATGGATCTAGAGGCAATCATTCAGACAGAACAAGGGGATACTCCATGGTTTCAAATTAGGAAAGATGTGCATCAAGGTTGTATCCTCTCACCATATTCACTCAGTTTGTGTGCCGAGCAAATAATACAAGAAGCTGGACTGTATGAAGAAGAACAAGGCATCAGAATTGGAGGAAGATTCGTTAGCAAATAGCCATATGCAGATGACATCATCTTATTTGCTGAAAGTGAAGAGGGTTTGAAGCACTAATGAAGATCAAAGACTATATAGCCTTCAGCATGGATTACAGCTCAACATAAAAAAAAAAAAAAAAAAATCCTTACAACTGAACCAATAAGCAATATCATGATACATGAAAAAAAATATAGAAGTTGTCAAGGATTTCATTTTACTTGAATCCACAATCAATGTCTATGGAAGCAAAGCCAAAAAAAATGCCGTGGACTCTGATCCCAACTCATAGCAACCCCTCCTTGGGTTTCTGAGGCCGTATCACTACAGAAGTAGATTGCCCAGCCTTCCTTTTAAGGAGTGGCTGGTGGGTTTGAACTGCCAGTACCTAGGGTCACCTTATCTGTGTCTGGGCCAGCACCCAGGCAATAGAACCTTTCTCCCAGTGCCTGTGCCCGAGACTTCCTAACCTGAATAACAGGTTGTGACAATCTCCAGTAGGAACAAAGTATAAAGAAACTTTCAGATTTTGGTGGCTTCAGAGGGAATTCTTGCCACACCCTTCAAACCTGGACAAAGCTCTCTCCCCATAGACTCTCCTGCAGCATGTCAGTTCTGAGCTCCAGCTCCAGAGAGCTCACGGGCTTCCTGGGGGAGTGGGTTGAAAACTCAAGAGACTCAGGAGCCCTGCAAGTGCTGAGTAGGAGGCTGGGGACTCTGTCAGGAAAGGAGGGGCCTCCCAGTCAAGCCAGCACTTGACCATGCCCCCACCCCAGCCCTGAAGCCAGAATCCTGGTTGGATAGTCATGGCAACAAAAGGCTAGCTCCCTACCCAGATATGTGCCCCTACCCTCCATCTCTGTTCTGTCCAGAGGCATATTTATAGGAAATAATGCCTCTGGCAATTAGTTTTAAATTGCTGAATGATTTCTCACAGCTGGCAATGGAAACTTTGATAGTGAAGAGAAACTGCTCATTGGTGCCCCCCCTTCAAGTGGCACCAAGGACACGTGCCACACCTGCCATACCCTAGATGCACTTCTGCTTCTCTTTTGCTGAACCTGGCCTCCTTAACGAAGTACCACAGCCTGGATGCCCTAAAACAATAGAAACTTGTTCTCTCACAGTTCTGAAGGCTAAAAGTCTGAAATCAGGGTGTCAACAGAGCTGAGCTCCCTCTGAAGGCTGTAGGGCAGAATCTTTCCTTGCTTCTTCCAAGTTCTGGTGGCCCAGACATTTGTAGATTTGTAGCAGCATAACTCCAATCTCTCCCTCTGTCTTCACAGGCTGTCTTCCTGTTCTGGTTACCTAGTGCCACTATGACAAGAATATACCACAAATGGGATGGCTTTAACAAACAGGAGTTTATTCTTACAATTTGGAGGCTTTAAGTCCAAGTTCAAAGTGCCAGGCTCTAGGGCTGGGTGAAAGCCCCTCAGCCTTGGATTGCAGCTCTGCCTCCTGCTCCCTGCCCACTGAAGCTAGAGGCTTTTCTTGACTCAGCTGCTGGCTGCTGAGGCTGACAAACCCAAGGTTGACAAGTAAAAAGGCACAGTCCCGATGTTACCAAACCACACAGCAGGCCATTAATTTAAGTCCATTGAAAGTCCCAAGGTTGGCAGAGCATGGAAGGCTGCTGAACAACATGGCTACATGCAGGGTTCAAGGTGCCATAAGCTCGAGACCATTCCCCAAGGCTTCTGCTTATATACAGGAAGCAGACCACATCCCTAAGGCAGCTACTCAGCTGCTCACAGTAGATTCCACCATGGAGTTGATTACCAGTTTCATCATGGGGAATACTACATCCAGCTGCCCAGCCACTCAATGAGGCCCAGCCAAGTTGACACACAAACTGAACTACCATACTTCCCTCTCTGTCTGTGGTCTTTATTTCTGTCTGTATCTCTTCCTTTTCTCTCTCCCCAACCCCATTCTCCTTGTCCCTGTCCTCTGCTCTTTCTGTCTTTCACCAGCCTGTGTACTCTCTGTGAATATCCATGTCTGTCTGTTCGTCTGTCCATATTTTCTGTTGAGTCCTGTCCTCATCATTCCATCCTGTCCAGCCCCAGCTGATATGGTTCCCTGATAACCATATAGAATGGACGACCATATAGAATGTCCTTCAAATCTCATCCAATGGTTTGGGCTGCTGAACTCTTAGTCACATCCCAAGAGCATTCAAGTTTATAATATACTTTTGTATCTTAAAAAAAGGAAAAAAAAAAGTTGGTAATTCAAATTTCAGGAAGTTAAAGTTCTGTAAAATCTCAGTGGGTGGAGCTAGGCAACAGCTAAGCTTTCTAACCAGGAAGGTCCTGGAGGAGTGGGACTGGTCAGGTGGGGAGATTTTTATACTCTCAAAAGGAGATGTGGTTTTGTGGTTGCTGCTGCTATTGTTTAAATATTAAGGAGCACCGATCCAGCCCAGCTGCTTCAGTGGACAGATGAGCATGTCCTAGAAGGTAAGGCTCAAGGAGGCAAAAGGATTTATCCAAGCCAAAGAGAGTGTTGGGAATACTGCCAGGCCTCCTGTCTCGGGTCTGGGTTCTTAAGGGGTGGGCTTTGGAATCCATGTTTGTTGAGATGGATTCTTAGGATAAAGAAGATTCTGGAGAAGGGGAAGGAAGAGTGATGGGAGAAAGTCATCCCAGTTAGAGAAAGACACATTCTTTCAGAGACCCCAGAAGAAGAGATGGGCTCTTAGCTGTCTGTGGGAGGTCTGAGGCCGAGGATAGTTACCACCAGACCTGTCCTCCCTTCCCAAAATCTCTAGAGATTTGCTGGCTTGTGGGGTGGGGTCAAAGCTGTTGAAAGAAAGAAGGAAGGGAGAAAAGAAGGTTAAAATGATGGATGGATGGATAGAAGAAAGGAAAAATGAAGGAAAAGGAAGAAAAAAAGATAGATGGATGAAAGGAAGGGAGGGAGGATATGCAATTGGATGGATGAGTGAAAAATGAAATCCTTCAAGAGATGTTGACTGCTGGTCTGAACTTTCTTCTGCTTTCCAATCTCTGCACTCATAAAAGATGTCTTGAGTTGAATATAAAATTCCAGGGGCAGGAATGAGGGAAGGATGGAGGCAGAAAGGAAAGGAGGGAAACTGCCCATTGTTTCATATGGCAGGCAGTGAGGAACCAAAATTGACAGGATTACTTCAGTTTGGTTCACTTCAGACTCCAGATTCTAGTTTCCAATTCAATTTTCTTCTCTTCTACAGGATAACACTGACTCCAAACTGCTCTTCACCTGAACAGGATGAGGGCATCAGGTAGGATCATGCTCTGAGGAGCCTAAGGCTCAGGTGCAGGACCTGAAATTGGTTTTGGAATCACTTTTCTGTCAGCTGAGCCCATCCATCCTTGGATTCAGAAGTGGCCTGGCTGTACACAATCAAACCAAAACCAAACTTACTGCTGTCAAGTCGATCCCACCTCATAGTGACCCCTCCTCAGGTTTCCAAGGCAGTATCTCTAAGGAAGTAGATTACCCAATCTTCCTTCCGAGGAGTTGCTGCTGGTGGGTTTGAACCGCCAACTTTCTGGTTAGCAGTCAGATGCCTCAGGCATTACACCACCAGAGCTCCCTCCCATTCAGACAGTACTCTCAAAGGTTCAGGCCAGAATTGCAGGAGACCAATCCAGGGAGGCCTAGAAGAGTAGGAAAGGTGACTTCATGCCTCCAGCCTGAAGGACTTGAGAAACAATGGCATAATAGGTCTCATGTGAGGTCCTGAGCTGAACTGCCTGTTGAGAGCATTCAAGTTCATAATATGCTTTTGCATCTTAAAAAGGCAGTCCTTTGCGTGGCGCAGTTTCACAACATCTCATAACCATCTCCTTGCTCTGCAGTTGTACTTCGCTTCCTGGCCCTCATCTTCACCCTGGTCACCACGTGTATGTTTATTCGTTCCTATACCAACTTCAAAACGAAAACCATCCGTCTGCCACGATGGCTGGGTGAGTGAGGCAGGGTTATGACCAGAACCGGGGGCTGAGGAAATATTTCTCCCTCCACCCATGACCCAGTAAACAGCTGGATGTGGCAGTGTGAGAGCCTGCCTTTGAATGGGGAGGTGAGAGGAGAGTGGGGGTGGGGAGCCTCCAAGCTGCCAGGAATGCTGGAGCCAATGGGAACAGAGAAGTATTTCAAAGTCCAAAACACATATGCCTGCAATAAGAACTGTGTTGGAAAGGGCATCCCAGGAGGGAAGGGGAGAAGAAGGAACAATAGAGGATAGGTGAGAAGGAAGGAGGGTGGGGGGAAAGAGAGAAAACTGTCCATATCTTGAATGGTTTTTAACTGCATAAGCAATATCTTTCTACTTGGAACCCTCTTCACACAGTACTCTCCATGGCTGGCTCCTCCTCAGCCTTCAGGTCTCTGCTCAGTACCACCTCCTCAGAGAGGCCTTTCCTGACAACCCCAGCTATAGCCACACTCCCTTTCCAAGTTTACCCTTTCTCGTGTCAGCCTATTTCCTTTGGAGCATCATCATAAACTGTCTTTGTGTTACTGATTTCTTTGTTTACTTGGTTGTTGCCTGCTTCCATCCCCTAGAATGAGAGCTTCCTGAAAGCTGGAATTTTGTTTTGTGTACAGCCATCGCTCCAGAGCAGATGTTCAGCAGACATTTGCTGAATGGATGAAAAAAATGGATGGCTGGATAGATAAATGAACAGATGGATGGATACTGTTTTACATGCATGGCCCTTTGAATCTGCATAAATGCCCTATGGAACGGTCCATGGCATGGTCATGAAATGGATTGTGCATGATCTCATTCTGTGGTTTTATGTATGGTCTGAGAAAACAGAAGTTCAGGGGCATCTAGAAACTCACCCACATTCCCCTTGTAGACGTTAGAACAGGAATGAAAACCTCAGTTTCCCAGATCCAAACCTTTTCCCAGCAAAGGAAGGAAGGAAAGGAAGGGCTTTAGGCCCCTGGATTTGTCCTCCTTGAAGATTAATAGTGACCTCCTCTGGCCCGGTCAAACATACTAACCTGTGGTGACCCAGGACAGTGAGTAGTTCCCCAGTCACCCCATCTTTAACACAACCCCACATTCCAGTGTCTTAGGACACTTATTCCAGTGCTTTGTGTCAAGCATAGTCTACATGTCAGAATGATCTACAGGTTTATATAGGTGCTTTGCGGCTATGCCTACCCCAGCCCAGGCCAGCACTGCTTTTATAGGATAGACATGTCCTTGCCTTGTGCTGACAGCCTTGGGGAAGGTCAGTGTGATGGGCTTGCAGCAGTGAAGTTCAGGGTGTCTTCTAGAAGACCAAGGTGGAAGAAAGGACAGTGCTTATGGGCAGACACCAGAAATTATTACCCTCTCAGAACTCAACTACCTGGGATTCAATGAATCAGCACCTTCAACCTACGTTCACTGAGCAACTATTGGGTATTAAGCTTTGTGTTAGGTCCCAAGGACCCTGGTAATAGGAACACATGGCCTCTGCTTACATCTGAGTTTGGGAGACAAGCAATTTCATTATACGATATACAACAGTACACGTACATTACCTTGACTAAGCATCTTGAGAAATGCTTGCAGTGGCAGGAAATATAACGAATTGGAAAGACTGCCATCAAAAATGGTTCCACCTCTGAAACTTTTGCCTTGAGATAATCTTTAAACCTTAAACCAAAAATGTCCCCTGAAGTCTTCCTAAAATCAAATAGTAGTTTACCTTTAAAGAGTGAAAATTTTCTGCCTTGGGCATTGAGCTTTTTAAGATCTGCTGCTGTTGTTGTTAGGTGCCGTTGAGTTGGTTCTGACACATAGCAACCCTGTGTACAACCAAACACTGGCGGTGCTGCACCACCCTCACAATTGTTGCTATGCTTGAGCCCATTGTTGCAGCCACTGTATCAATCCATCTCATTGAGAGTATTCCTCTTTTTCACAGACTCTACACCAAATATGATGTCATTTTCCAGGAACTGGTCCCTCTTGATAACATGTCCAAACTACATGAGACAAAGTCTTGCCATTTTCACTTCCAACGAGCATTCTAGCTGTACTTCCTCCAAGACAGATCTGTTTTTAATTCTGGCAGCCCATTGTATATTCAATATTCTTCACCAACACTATAACTCAGAGACATTAATTCTGCCTTTGTCTTCCTTATTCATTGTCCAGCTTTCGCATGCACATGAGGCAATAGAAAGTATCATGGCTTGGGCCAGGCACACCTTAGTGCTCAAAGTGACATCTTTGCTTTTAAACACTTGACAGAGGTTTTTTTGTAGCAGATTTGCTCAATTCAATAGGTCATTCGATTTCTTGACTGTTGCTTTCATGGGGATTGATTATGCATCCAAGTAAAATGAAATACTGACAACTTCAGTCTTTTCTTTGCTTGTCATGATGTTGCTTATTGGTCCAGTTGTGAGGATTTTTATTTTATTTACGTTGAGGTGTAATCCATACTGTACTCTTTGATGTTGCTCTGTAAGTGCTTCAAGTCCTCTTCACTTTCAGCAAGCAAGTTTCTTCTATCAGCATATCGCAAGTTGTTAGTAAGTCGTCCTCTGATCCTAATGCTGCATTCTTCTTCATATAGTCCAGCTTCTTGGATTATTTGCTCAGCATACAGATTGAATAAGTATGGTGAAAAGAAACAATGCTGATACACACCTTTCCTGACTTTAAACCATGAGGTATCCCCTTGTTCTATTCAAATAAAGCTTGTTCTATGCATAGGTTATTTGTGAGTACAATTAAATGTTCTGGAATTCCCATTCTTTGCAATGTTATCCATGATTTCTTATGATCCACACAGTTGAATGTCTTTGCATAGTCAATAAAACATAGGTAAACATCTTTCTGGTATTCTCTGCTTTCAGCCAAGATCCCTCTGACATCAGCAATGATATCCTTCACTCTATGTCCTGTTCTGAACCTGGCTTGAATTTCTGGCAGTTCTCTGTTGATATACAGATGCAACCATTCTTGAATTATCTTCAGCAAAGTTTTATTTATGTATGCTATTAATGATATTATTTGATAATTTCTGTATTCTATTGGATTGCCTTTCTTTGGAATGGGCATAAACATGGATCTTTTCCAGTCAGTTGGCCAGGAAGCTGTCTTCCAAATTTCTTGGCATAGAAGAGTGTGTGCTTGCCAATGTTAAATCCATTTGTTGAAATATCTCAATATTCCATCAGTTCCTGGAGGCTTGTTTTTCACCAGTACCTTCAGTGCAGTTTGGACTTCTTCCTTCAATACCATCAATTCTTGATCATATGCTACCTGCTGAAATGGTTGAATGTTGACCAATTCTTTTTTGTTCAGTGACTGCATATTCTTTCCATTTTCTTTTAATCCTTCCTATTAATCCTTCCTGTATCATCTAATAGGAGCTCTGGTAGCGTAGCAACCAAGGAACTTGACTACTAACCAGAAGGCTGGTGGTTCAAACCCACCAGCCACTTCTCAGAAGGAAGGTTGGGCAATTACTTCCATAGTGATACCACCTCAGAAACCCAAGAAGGGATCGCTATGAGTCGGGTCTGACTCAACGGCACATAACAACAACAACAAAGTATCATCTAATATTTTGCCCATAGAATCCTTCATTATTTCAACTTGAGGCTTGAATTATTTCTTTATCTCTTTAAACTTGAGAAATGCTGAGAATATTCTCCTCTTTTGCCTTTGTGTTATTTCAACTTGAGGCTTGAATTATTTCTTTATCTCTTTCAGCTTGAGAAATGCTGAGAATATTCTCCTCTTTTGCCTTTGTAAGCCAAGTTCTCTACACATTTCATTATGATACTTTACTTTGTCTTCTCCAGCCACCCTTTGAAATCTTTTCTTCAGCTTTCTTACTTCATCATTTTACTTCTTCCATTTCTTCCACTTGCTTTAACTACTCTGTGTTCAAGAGCAAGTTTCAGAGTCTCTTCTGACATCTATTTTGGTCTCTTAAGTTTGTCGTACTATGATGGCTTGCATGTTGTTGTGACCTTGGAAGCTATGCCACCAATATTTCAAATACCAGCAGGGTCACCCATGATGGACAGGTTTCAGTAGAGCTTCCAGACTTAGACTAGTAAGGAGGACCTGGCCATCTACCTCACAAAAAAAAAAAAAAAAAAAAAAAAGACCAGACAAAGCCCTCAGCATAGCAGTAGAACAGTTGTCTGAAGATAAGGCCCTCAAGTTGGAAAACAAAAACCAGAACCACTACCATCAAGTTGATTACAACTCAAAGCCACTCCCTTAGGGTTTCCAAGGCTATAAATCTTTATGGAAGTAGATTGCCACATCTTCGTCCCACAGAGCTGCTGGTGTTTTGAACCACCAACCTTCTGGTTAGCAGCCAAATGTCTTACCCTCTGCACCACCAGAGCTCCTTAAGTTGGAAGGCACTCAAAATATGCCTGGGGGAGAGCTGCCTCCTCAAAGTAGAGTTGACCTTAATGACTTAGGTGAAGTAAAGCTTTCAAGACCTTCATTTGCTGTTGTTGCATGCTTCAAAATGAGAAGAAACAGCTGTAAACATCCATTAATAATCAGTACATGGAATGTATGAAATTTGAATCTGGGAAAATTGGTAGTTGTAAAAAAAATGAAATGGAATGCATGAAGATCAATATCCTAAGCTTTAGTAAGCTGAAATGGACTAGTTTTGGTTTTTTTGAATTGGACAGTCATATAGTCTACAATGCTGAGAATGACAAATTGAAAATGAATGATGTATTCGTCATCAAAAAGAACATTCCAAAATCTCTCCTGAAGTACAGCTCTGTCAGTGACAGGATAATATGGATATATGCCTACAAGGCAGACCAATTAATATGACTATTATTCAAATTTACACACCAACCACTAATGCTAAAAATGAGGAAATTGAAGATTTTTATTAACTTCTGCAGTCTGGAATTGATCAAACATGCAACCAAGATGCATTGATAATGACTGGTAATTCGTATGTGAAAGTTAGAAACAAAGAACAATAGATAGTTGGAAAATATGGCCTTGGTGATAGATATGACACTGGAGATCACATAATAGAATTTTACAAGACCAGCAACTTACTCATTGCACATACCATTTTTCAACAATATATTGATGACTATACATGTGGACTTAGGAGGCAGTGAGTTTATGTTATTGGAGAGGAACAGTTCAGAAAAGGAGGGTAAGAATGGTTATACGACTTGAAGAATGTACAAATGTCACTAAATTGTACATGTAGAAATTGTTGAATTGGTGTGCTGCTGTGTATATTCTCAACAATTTAAAAAAAATGAGAAAACAAAAAGCTGTTTCAGTGTTCAGGCACTTAAAGGGATAATGTTCATTTACTTCAGAGGTTTCTAACCTCGGTCTACATATCCCCCTTTTATTATTTAATGCATTAATATGGAAGCATACATATTACTATAGCACAAATTTCCTTTTTTAATGCATTTTATTGAAATACAATTTATGTACAGTGAAATACACAAAACTAAAGTGACATGGATCAATGCTTTTTTTTTTTTTGCAGTGTTCCCTCCCCACCCCTCCCACACCAGCAACCAACAAAGAAAGTTTCACTCCATATATAAACCTTTCCTTGACCTGCCACAACAACGAACTAATACTATATTTGTCCTTCTGTGATTGACTTATTTTACTTCTGTGATTGACTTATTTCACTCAGCATAATGTCCTCCAAGTTCATCCATATTATGTGGTGTTCTGCAGACTCTACATTATTCTTTAGTGCTGCATAGCATTCCATTATGTGTATGTACATAGTTTGGTCATCCACCCTTCCACTATAAATCTTAGAGATAACTCCCTTGCCAGATATGTAATTATCAGCAAATATGAATTTGTTGCTGTCTTTTTTGTTATGTGCTTTTTTGTGGTGTTGAATTTTTATTCCATATAATTTCCATGCTGAACTCGTTTTGCTTATGAATTGTGTTATCATTTTCTTCATTGCTATTGTTTTAATATTGCTGAATATTTATGCTGGCCCTTTTTTTTATATATGTGAAGGTTTATCATTTTTCTTTGAGGTTACCCTGTGAATTATAGTTTTCTTCCCAAGTTTAGAACAGTCCATTCTATATTGTAATTGTCTTGACTTCCCTACCATCTAGAAGTTCTATAGCGACAGAGTTTTTTTTCCCTCTTTTTGGTTTGCAGTTGTCCTGATTTGTCAATTGACGTCTCTGGTTCCCTATATACAATCTTGTAGGCTTACTTAGTTTGGATACTTCCATAGCTGGGTTGGTTTCTGGGTTATATCATCATGTGTGTTAATGGTCAGTTGTTGTTGGCTGTTGCTGCTTCTCTGTCCAAA